TCAACATGGTTTGAATCCTAGATCCGGAGGCTTGAAACTCACGCCAGTCACATGTGCATACATGCCCAAAATCCCAAGAGAAGAATGGAGAAGAAGGGATTGCTGCGTGGCCAACCCCACTGTGGGGAGATTTCTCACTTTCCATCTCACTGTCTCTCAGACAAATATATGTGCCCTATAGCAAAAACTTCTCAAAAATAAACAAACAAATAAAGCTATCAGGTTAGTACCTATTGGTCCCCGCATGCAAGCATTCATTTTATTAGGTGTGTATCCCATTGTAGATCCTATGCCAAGCACCTTTATGAGAATCTTTCTAATTTTATCATATTAAGAGTATACATTGTTGGAACCAGCAGATGGCGTAATGGTCACAGCTCTGGACTCTCATGTGGATAACAGCAGTCTGAGTCCTGGACCCGGCAGCTTGAAAACTCATGCTAGGGGTGTGTGTGCATGTGTGCCCAAAATCCTGAAAGGAGAATGGAGGAGAATGAACTGCAGCGTGACCATGCCCCCTGGGGGATAATTTCTTGCTTTCTGTCTCTCTGTCTCTCCAGTGAACACACACACCGTATAGCAAAAATTTCTCTAAAAAGAAAAAAAAGATTATGCGTCATTCTCTTTTCTGGATAACAATTCCTGTTTTATAGATGATCAGTATGGCTAACACGAATGCGGGGTGCTGGGTGACAAACGCTGTATTCGCAGCAACCCATTTATTGGCACAAAGGGGTTAATTTGCTCGAAGTCACAGAGCAAGGTGTGACAAAACTAGAGGCTGGCTGTAGCCAGGGGTCAGCAACCAAAGACACCAGTGGTCCCCTTTGAAAGGGTGGCAGTTCTCAACTCTTCAAGAAGAGGTAGAAATCGAGACCTCGATTTAAATATTATATGAATATTTTCTAAAAAGCATCCCGCAGGCCAAAGAAACATGTCTAGTGACTATCAACTTACAGTTGCTCCTAAGAGTCTTATGTCAAAAGATGAGCTAGTATGATCCTGTCCAAAAATGCCAGAAATCAGAGCTACCGTGCCGGGCTTCCTCACAAGGCTCTCCTTGCAACAAACTTTGACCCTGAATTTGCCCTCCATTCACACTCTGACCTCTGCTAAATGCCCACCTAAGCCTCCTCACTCTGGACTTGCACTCGTGAAAATAACTATTCAAGTTACTTAAACTGCATATGAAATTCTGCAGATTTGTATTCCTGCAAAAGTCTTTTCAATGCAGTGTTTTAAACTTACTACACACGGATGTAGCAAAATAAAGCACTCGCTGTGCCCGAGAGCTGGCCAACTCTTCAACTAAATTCATTCTGGAGAGACCTGCAGCAGCAGCGACCTCACCGCTATCGTGGGAGGCTCCTGCTCACCGTCCAGCGCTGAGAATCCGCTCAGGACACCCTGGCTCATTTCCTCCTGCCCTTCTTTAATCAGCTGGAGGAGACCGGAGGAAATGAGTCAAAATCCTAAGAGAAACTTCTAAGGGCTGTCAACAACAGCAGCCAAATGCATCACCACCACATCTGTGGTCAATGCGCTACCAGGGCAGGCCGCTGAATGCCTGGCCCACGGGCGATGAGCGTTTGGGGAGAAGAAAGGCTGTGAGTGGTCCATTGTGGGCCTCTCCTCGGACCCACCCAGGTTGTAAAAAGCCAACAGTCTCAGCTAGCATTGCGAGGACCAAGGGGGGTCAAGAGTTGGGGGGAAATGCCTATGATAAACAAACTATGCATAGGTTTCCCATCTATGTTTGCACCCAAAGAAACTCAAACTTTAATTGCACTTTTCCACGAACTTTTTGGATTCCCCTTATGTCATGTTAAAAAACTATTTTTACTTTTGGCCTCGGGAATGGATTTCTCCTGACAGACATCCCTTAGGAGAAAGCTCATTTCCGTTTCTGAGCCCTACCTGGAACGGGACAGTGACACCTAAAGTTCTCACAACTCAGGGCCAAAGGCCAACACCCCCAACTCCCACTGCTGTCATTGAAGGAATCGTCCTCCACCAGTGAACACGTGGCTAAAACAGAGAAACCTGGGAATCTACTGGAAATTGAGAAGACGAGGAGCACTCGAACTCAAATGTCCTAAGATAGGTCTTTTTCACCAACATTGGGAAGGCAATGGCCTTGGCCGTCCTGTTTTCCCAGAACCTCCAGCGATGCCTGGCACACAGTAAGCACTCATTAAATGTTTTTCAACAAGTCTCACTTCACAAAACAAAATCGGGTGAGTCATGCAAGTGGGGATAGAGGGCGTGTGGGGCTGGTCTCCGGCTTTTTGTTTGGGGCCAGTGACTTATTCTCAGTTTCCACAGCTGTAACCGAGCAGGGGCAATGGGTTGGGCTTGTAGAGAGAACTGGAAATGCCAGGGAAACCCCAGCAAGGAGCCTGCTGCACAGTTTTCCACAAGAGCCACAACTACGTGCAACAACACACACACTATGACACTTACGGCACCAGATGAAGCATGTTGTAAACACACAGCAGACATGGTTTTTACAAAGTCATTAGGGAAAAAAAAAATGGATGGGGGGGGCAAGACCAGAACAGGGATGAATAAATGATCTGGGGTCTTTTTATTGATTTGTTTAAAGAATGACTTATTTCATTTTATTTGCTCTTGTTCATTTTTTTAATTTGACCAGAGAGAGAAAGGGAAAGGGAGAAATCTGGGACTCAAACTGTGGTCCTCCATGTGGTCCCCCACACCACCTGCCAGCTCCCTGGGATCTCTTTTCAAGACCATGAAAAGGCCATGGCTTCTCGTCCAGCAGGGTACTCATTCCAAATACCTTGTCCAGCTGCGAGGAGGAATCTGGCCTCTGGCAGGAACAAGGGGAGATATGATTCACTATTCCTTGCAGGTTCATCCTGTTTAGCAAAGGCACTGTAAATACATGTGTGTGCGCGTGCGTGCGTGTGTGTCCATCCGTCCACACAGCAGGCACCTCACAGGCATGTGGGAATTGAGGGAGGGCAGCATAAAACATCGTCTCCGCCTTAGCCAGAGGCAGACCACAAGGATACATGGATTCACCAAGAGGTCCTTGTACCCAAGAAAGACACCGGAATGTCAAAGAGGCGGGAAGGGGTCAGGTGAAGAATGGACAAAGATGAATGGGAGTCTCTACCCTTAACCCTAGACCAGAAGAATTATGGACGCAAACAGAAACTGGGCTTCCCAAAATTTAAGTGTCCTACCGGTGGCAGGGAAGAGGACTTGAGGGGCAGAGCCAGGCTTTGTCACTATATTCCACTGTCCCCAGGAACAGACCTTAAAATCCCCTTTACCAAAAACCTATTGCAAGGAGCAGGCAAATGGGGGGTGGGGGTGGGAGAGACCACCGATTCAAGTAACTTTTAAAAGAGAAATATTCCTTCTGGTGTCCTAGTCAGGTCTCTCTTACACACCTTAAGTGATAATAAAAGGCCAAGCAAGGCACAAATCTATAGAGACCAAACATGTCATTTTGAATCTGGGCCATTAAATTAAAAAAAAAAAAAAAATCCGGACACTCGGTGGTGACCCCTCCTGCAGCACAGGGGTCCATCCTGACGCTGGGCCTCTCTTCCCGACAGGAAAGCCTTCACAATGCCTTATGGTCTGCACAGGGAGGTCGTGCAGACTACGGAGAAGGGGCCAGGAGGTGACAGTCTCAGGACAGTTCATTGCCATGATCCTTTTGGGGTGCTCCACTGCAGTTCGGAATCACTTTCTATCCTTACATTACCAGGGTAACCTTAAAGACTATTTTTTTTTTTAATCTGGAAGAGAGCTTCAGGGTGAGCAGGACCTGCACGCGCCAGCACGCCAGCGACACCTGGATAAAAAGGCAGGCGAGGCAGGGCTGCGCGTCTCCAGAGCCTGCAGATCCTCCAGCACCTTAAGACCCAGCTTCCCGCGGGGATACAACTGGTTTCCAGAATAGATTTAAGAACCAAGTAAGACTGGCAGAAAGTTCCACTCCACCTCCCACCCCACCTCGGGCAGCCCTGGAGTGTGGCTATCCCGTGGGAGGGGTTGTTGCGAGTCTCAAATTTCCCGAAGAAAACTGGCACCTGCGATTACCGGACGCAGACACCGAAACGAGGGGCTCCCAGAGCTCCTCCAGGCTGGTAGGTCACCCTGGCTGGGCGCGCGAGGTGGCCGGGGTCGAAAACCGCAAGCCTGAGCAGGCAGCCTCCAGTCGCTCCGGAGCGCGTGGCAGGAATGAAGCGGCACCGCGGCGGAAAGGGGCGCGCCTACCGCACGGGAGTCACAAAAGCAAAAAGTCTGCAACCTAGCGGCGGCTTTGCACACGCCCTGCCCAAGTTGCCCGGGTCGCCACCACCTCCTGGGTGGCGGGGTGACCCCCCAGCCGCACGCGGCGCGCTCCGGGAGCAAGACCAGGGGGCGGGGAAGCGGCAGCCTTAGACTCCGCTCCACCCGTAGCACCGCGAGGAGAGGCGGCAGCAGGTCGGTCCCCAGCTCGGGCACAAAGAGGGCCAGCGGTTGAAAGCAGCAGACACAGAGCAAAGAAAAGGCTCCCCAACTTTGCCCTCGGCTTGGCTGAGAACCTGCGGGCCGGTCCTCGGGTGCTCCGGCCTCCCCCACGCAACTTTTAACAAAAGGAAGCTGTGGCCGCGCCTCGCACGGCGAGACCAAGTGCTCGGAGCGAACCCCCGAGCCGCTCGCCTCCGCCACCCCGCGCC